CCCGGCTTTTAAAAAAGCCGGAAAAGAGCGTCTACACTGGCCCCGATCCTCCGGAAAAAAAGCCCTTTTCCGGAGGATCTTATAAGATCCTCCGGAAAAGGGCTTTTTTTCCGGAGGATCGGGGCCAGTGTAGACGCTCTTTTCCGGCTTTTTTAAAAGCCGGAAAAAAGCGGCGGACATTTTTATTTAAATGCCGCGGGGGTTATTTAAATCCCCCGCGGATTTCCCTATTACGGCTTCTGAAATTAACATGCCCCTTCCGGAAAAGGGGCCAGTGTAGACGTAGCTCTTATGTAGTTTAGACCGTGAACTGCGAAAAGTTTAATGTAAAATGTACACAGGACGATGTCAATATTTTGGGTTTATCAGAGGGCATTGTTCTTAGATTTGTTGCCGCGGGGGTTATTTAAATCCCCCGCGGATTTCCCTATTACGGCTTCTGAAATTAACATGCCCCTTCCGGAAAAGGGGCCAGTGTAGACGTAGCTCTTATGTAGTTTAGACCGTGAACTGCGAAAAGTTTAATGTAAAATGTACACAGGACGATGTCAATATTTTGGGTTTATCAGAGGGCATTGTTCTTAGATTTGTTCTCTCCCTCATCTGTCAGATCCTAAGTGGCTGATGTAATTAAGCTTTAATATGGGAGCAGCACAGTCTAGGTACACTGAAGTTGAATAAAACATGTAAAACATTTAATTTAATGTTTGGCTGGAAGGATGGAGGGTATATAACATGTATTTTATTTGAAACTGCTGAAAACGAATTAAAATGCCATGAGCAGTATAGCAGAATTGGTCTTGGAGATAGAAGGTGGTGAAGTAACATTTGAAGGAGAATTCTGTGTACGCCCTCTGTAAGCTGGAAAGTTTGCCTTATGCAACAATACAGGTTATCTTATGCAACAATACAATATTATCTCACCCTCATAGTTCCTATAGTACAAGACTGTCAATAAGGGTCCAATAAATATTCTCACCCTCATAGTTCCTATAGTACAAGACTGTCAATAAGCAATCTTCAGTTTGTCATACTGCACTAGCAGAGTGACTGATGGGATGGCAGATTTTTCCATCCAATATTCTGTCTTGCGTGCGCATGCTCCATTGTCTAGAAAACAGAAAATTGTATATTTCTCACTTGGCCAGCTGCTGGGATGTTTGGAGTAACTGGCATCGTGACAGCTATATTTGGTTTAAGCTATATTTGGCACATCCAGAGTATGTCTACACTGCAGAGATTTTTCTGGAAAAAGGCAGTTTTTCTGTGAGAACCTCACATCCACAGTGCAGTCACGTTCTATCAAAAAATCAAAAGAACAGAGGGGGGTTTTCTGACATGGGTAAATCTCTTTCTACGAGGAAGAAGCCTTTTTCTGAAAGCTCTTTTAAAAAAAAAAAAAAGGCATGTGTGGACGGGGAAGAGGGAGTTCTTTCAAAAGAAGAGGAAAGAGGAAAAAGCAGACACCCCCTGGTGGCCACTCCATCCATCGTAATCACAGCTTAAATGTGAGAGCATCTACACTGAATGGACACTATCTTTCGAAAAGGCAGATGCACTTTTGCTGTGTTGATGCTCTCTTGGAAGAAATTTTTTTGGAAGATCACTTCCAGAAAAACTTCTTCCGAAAGAAGCCTGCAGTCTAGACATAGCCCCAGTGAGGTAGGGTACTCTTCAAAGTCTTGCAGAAGGGACATTGCTGATTCCAGTGCCGCTCTATGATGCAAAGGGTCTTTTCTGAGGGCCTTCAGTGTGGACCTATGTAGTGTTGGGAAGCTATGTAGTTTAGGAATGCCTTT